CGCGGCCGCTCGAGGAGTGGTCGGGCGCCGTGCTGCTGTCTCGGCCATATCTCGGCCACATCTCGGCTGTGTCTCGGATGTAGGAGTGGACGGGCACCGACGACGCGCTGCTGCGTGCACTGGGCGAGGTGCAGCTCACACGGCTCGCGAGTGAGGGGACAGCGGGGCTGGACGCCGTGCGCGACTGGGCGGACGAACTGAGCTTGGGTGAGCAACAGCGGCTCTCGATCGCGCGAGTCCTCCTCCGCAAGCCGCGCCTCGCGATCCTCGACGAGGCCACTTCGGCTCTCGACCTGGAGAATGAGGCCCTACTATACAACGCGCTCGGCCAGCTCGAGGGGCTGACGTACCTGTCGGTCGGGCATCGCCCTTCGTTGCTAAACTTCCACGCGTCACGGCTGCGGCTCTATGGCGTGGAGCGGACACCGTGCTATGCCGTTGAGACGATCGGATAGGCTAGGACCACAATTAGATAGCATGTGTCGCGAAAGAGGGAGTTGGTTATTGCACACTCCCGGCCCGGCGCCGCGCATGTACCAGATTAACCGAGAAAGAGCTATGAGTTACCGCGGGATCGCTGTCGCTCTTGGGGGCGAGTGAACGTCTCGCTGTTCATTACCCACCCGCCTTCCTCAAAGCAGCCGACAAGTAAAAGCAAAAAAAATACGCCCGCGCGTGCCCGTTGGCGTTGCGCGCGGCCCGGCGGCGTGCGCGTCGACCGACGTGTGTAGCTCCCCTGTGTTGCTCCCCGCACGCTGTGATGTCGAGCCTTGAATCTGCGGAACGCGCACTTGGAGCACTTGGAGTGCATTCATCAACCTCACATCCAGGGCCGGGGAGCTGAGAAGCGCACCCAGCGAGCCGGATGATCGGCATCGGGCTACGGGCTAGAGAGCCCTGACCCCTAGCTAGGGGGGGGTGCGCATTCGCAGGGCAAGGGCCTTAAAGTAAACACGGGTCTCCGAGGGTTAGCTCCGCGCTCCAGGTTTCCCCTAGCAGCAGAACGCCCCCTCTACTCGGAGCTAGTAAACACTCGACACGGACTCGACGCCCATCCACACCCGGCACCTCACCACACCGGACCCCTCTTCGAGGTCTCCCAACTTTCACTCCGGGGCGTCTTCCCCCACCTCTCGGTCCTTCCTCCTGGCCGCATCCCGATAGTTGTGCGACGGGCGCGGGGCCCGGCCTCCCCTCCTAGCCTTTTTCGGCTGCGGCCCCACCGCCGTCTCGTCTTCTCTGCCTGATCCTGTCGACTCCGCCTCCGGCGATCCCACGCCCGACTCCCCGGGTGAGGGCGGCGGCATCACTCGTCGCCACTCCAAGGAGATGCAGCCGGGCGGCGCGAT